TTTGTCCTAGGGAACTTAATAAACGTTTTCGAGCGGTGTATTTGTCGTACCGGAATCGAGATACCATGGTTATTGAAGTAGTGTGGGACCGTAGATCTTTTGGGAAGATCGTGAAGTTCAGGTGATCGGTAGAATGGTACGGAATGGAAAGGAGGAATCGTGAAGCAGCGGGTTGCGAATGTCGCTGATACTTTTAAACATAACCGAGGCATAACATTAATCGATTAACTGTAATACGATTAAAATACAGGCTAAGAAAGTAGGAGAAATTTTATCGTGAAATTTTTATCTTGCGGTTAAAGAAATCACAAAAGTATCAGCGACTCATGGGCAATTTTTGTTTTCTCTCTTTCTCTCTCTTTCTCTATTTCTATTTCTATCTATCTACTCTACCTATCCCTCTCTATTCACGAACCGAGTTTCTTGGTGGCATGCGTTAGTGCTCTTGGCTAGCCTGTAGAATTTCCAAGGGTGAAGAAACCCGTCGCGGAATGGCCTGTTAGAGAAGGAACGGTTTTTCTCACTCGACGCACGAGCGAAAAGGAGAAGCCTCACATCGTCAGATCGAGACACGATTTTTTCTGGCTTGATATAAGATATAATACTTGGCACTTGAATTAGAACGCAGCAGTAGAAGGGTGGTGCAGGCGTAGGCACATGCGGCTGCTCTTTAGGGATTTTACTAGTAGAAATTGCACGTATAATTGCGAGAACACTCAACGCAACACAGACAATGCTTACCTTTTGGCGTCGAACGGGCCTAACGCGGAGAAGGCGTATGTACTGTGAGACTGAATCGGCCAGCGAAACGCGTGAACGAGATCGGAACACTCTCTATCCGCTTGTTCGTGTTCGCATGATAATAAGAGTAGAACAAGTAACCAAGCATGGTTTATCGTTGATCCTTTGAACGTAAATTATTTAGAAGTTATTTAATCGAGCTCGGTCTAACATACTTGCGTTTCTTTTTTTCCTTGTAATCTTTTATTAAGTTAACGTAGATACGTCACGGTATATGCATACATACATACATATACACGTTATGATGTTTGTTATATCGATACTTAAGCGATTTCAATAACGAAGAATACTTTTTACAAAGTTTACGAGACATTAAACTATATTTGTATTAATCTTTGTTCGCGTATCATCGTCTTTTATTTGGACTTACTATCGTTTGGATATAACTCTTTGATACCACGATCTTAAATTTCAAAATGGCGAAATTCTATGCAATATACAACTCTTTCCGAATATATCGATATTTAGTCGGTCTTAAATTGTACGAGTACTTATTTAAAGGATTTAATGAGAAAATAATGGATTGCAAATCGAAAAATGGTTATAAACCATATATTGAACAGCCTTCCCGTCGTTTCCCGTGGAACGCTTATTCATTATCCTACTTCGTTGTTCAGGCACATAGATAGCCTTTAGTTTCAGCCACATCGAAAGATCTATCTCCCTTTCTCTTTTTCTATCTCTCTCTTCCTTTCTTTCTCTTTGACAAATTACATGCATATGCATACACGTATATTATATGCGATACGTATTATATACGATGTGTGTATGCAGTCTCATATGGACAGGGGAACACTCATAGCAGCGACTTCAAGAATTTTTTTTTCAAAAAGTATTTACACGAGAGAGAATTGCTAAAAAAAGATTCATAATATCCATCACAATCATCGCGTTAACACGTTATATGTGTTTATGCATATACATATACCTTTTCTTTTCTTCTTCTTTTCTCATTTTTTTTTTATTCATTCAAATATTTATTCGTGTATGGACGTACATATATGATACATATTGTATTATATATACATTACATGTATTTTTTTCCATGTGTGTATACATATACATAGAAGTGCTAGTACGTACATATACGGATATTTATTCACACAGACATGCACCACTGAGCAGAAGGAAAGCGGGAAAGAGACAACATACACGCATAGATTGACACTAGCCCATGTCCCAAGAAACACTCTTCTTTCGAATATATCGTTAATCAGAAAAGGAAGAAGGAAAAAAGAATAATTTGCGATGTATTATAACGCGATTACGCTCACAGACTTCGTTGCCGCAGACGCACGCTTCTTTTCTTGATAATTAGTCGTCGAGATCGATCGTCTATTGGCCTGTTCTATCAGTCGACGTGGATAATTTTAATTAGCGGTTCTCAAGTGTATTGATACGTGTGAACATATATATGTCATTCGAAGATATAATTATAATATGGAAGATACTTCGAAATTCTATCATTTACATTAAGGTTATCAATAATATAATAAACAATGATGAAGAAAGTGCTCTTTTCTCTAGTAGACAATATGTTCGATATCATTTTACTTTTTATAATCACATTTACAAGCGTGTCATGGGCAACATTATCGAGCACTTTAATCAAATTATGTTAATTTTGCTATACAGATAAAGCGAGATGAAATATGTATATTAGACAAGAAATGGTTCTTTCATCATCACTCATGATCTATTATTTTTACATCTGAAATATTGTATATAAACTTGTATATTTTTGGATGCACAATATTCCGAAATCTTTTGTATTATATATTGTTTTTCATTTCAGAAACATTTCATAAACATTTTTGTACATTTGCAATATGGTGATTGAGAACTGCTATTTTACATGGTCGACATAGAAAAAAGTATGGATATTTGTATTAAGTTTTTTAATAAAACTGATTATTTCGAAGATGTATCGTTAATTTGAACAAATGAAAGATCTAAGCCAAGGTTGAGATAATTCTAGAAATGAATCTTGATCAAATTTCCCTTATATAACTACGATTTTTTGGATTCGTATATATATATATATCATTACATAATGAATTCATATAACGAATTGAATTTAATACATACGTATAATTACTTTTGTACATCATTAATCGAATTTAATTGTTATCATCGCTATAAATTTTAAGTAATATTATAATGACAGCTTCATCTTAACATCACACACTTATAAACTGTTTTATATTGTCTACGTAAATTCTTTATAACATCAAGTTTATCATTTAATCAATTTTCCATCTATCGTACAAATGAACGTTTGAAAAAAAGCAAAAAAAAGTATCTCTTTTTTGGCGAAAGAATCTTTCATTCATCGACCATAATACTCTTGACTCAATAAATTTATTTTATAAATCCAAAGAGGCCGATCGACGATTTTTTTCTTCTTAAAAAAAGAGAAAAGAATATAAAACAGATTGTAGAATCATAGGACGTGCACTAGCTTCGAAATTGTCATTCGAGTTCGACAGTTTATCATATTCGAAGTGGACACATACATCGAGAACATCCTATGATCGCTTCGAGAAGAGGAAGAAAGAGAATCGCATTAACATTTGCGATAATATGGCATAGCCGAAATGACACTCTAAGGATACTAACTATGTCTACTTTTGCTATTTCGTACATTTCTAAAGACTACATCGATTGTGTGAAGCGCTAATATAGACGAGTGATAAACTAATCAGACGCTAACATCGCTCGCTAACTGCTCTCTAACTAAAATTAGAATAGTGCAATAATATTTTCTATCGTGCGGCAACGATACAGTGCACATTGAAACGCGTCTTTCGATCTCACGAGGCCAATGACTAGAATAACTTCGATATATCGAGTCATGCAATGACACCGTACCCTCGTCAAATAGGAATATCTTCTTTCGAATTCCTTGGAAATTTCGTTTCGGTAAAACGGCTTTGTTCGATACGATATCTCGTACCACAGGAGGTTGCTGTACTCTTTCGTACGTACAGAACAAAACAAAAAAAGAAGGAAAAATAAGAAAGATTTGTACCCAAAAGGGAAAAAAAAGAAAATGTTCTTCTAAAACTTTCTCGATCCGTTCATCGACGTTCATACATATCCACCGACAGGTAGAAGCGATTATTTTTCATTGTGAAGAGCTAGTCAAACGAAATATAACCCTCGAAAAAAAAGAAACAAAAAACGAAAGAAAAAGGGAAAACGAATCCTGTTGTATCGAAGAGTTCGCGCAAAATTCAACGAATACATACGAGCTACCTGCCAATGGACTAGGTAGACGTGTCGGCACGTGTAGTTATCGTTAGGCCTAGGTGTAGGAGTGTAGGACCTAGGTGTAGGTAGCCTACCTACCCCGCCCTTTATTTGGAACGTGTTCGTTTCCATATCTATTAACTATTTGGGCCGTGGCACGCATAGCGGTACAGCACTGTTAATCGTGTCTCTATGAGTGGCCGCGCAGCCCGGTAGCTGAGCCAAAACTTACTTCCGTCATAAGTGCAAATTTCCTCCCCCTCGCCAGCTCAGAAAAAAAATATAACCCACTAAAAAAAAAAAAACTAGCTAAGGTACCACCTGTGTACGACGCATTTAGCGATCACTTCGACTGGACGAGACGATACCGGTTCTCACCAAAAAAAAAAAAAAAAAAAAAAAAAAAAAAA